CTGTTTTTCATTCTTTTTTTCCCCTTTGGTACCAGGGATTGAACATAGGGGTCCTTAACCACTGAGGCACATCCCCTTGTTTTTTTTTTTAATTGTTTATTTTGAAACAGGGTTTCACTAGTTGCTCACAGTTTGCTAAATTGCTGAGACTAGGTTTGAGCCTATGAAATTCCTGCCTCAGCCTCCCCAGCCGCTGGAAATATAGATATGCACTATCACTCAGCTATGCCCTGTATTGTGCTGTTTGTCCCTCTCCGTTTATTAATTAATCCTAGTATGCATTTGAATGTTCCTATGTCCTTCAAGGTTCTGGTCAAATACAATTTTCTTTTTTAATATTTATTTTTTAGCTCTAGTTGGACACAATACCTTTATTTTATATATTTATTTTTTTGTCGTGCTGAGGATCAAACTCAGGTCCTTGCACATGCTAGGCAAGTGCTCTACCATTGAGCCACATCCCCAGCCTAAATATAATTTGTATCATGAAATCTGTCTTAATTTCCCATAACTAAAGATAATCTCTACTTTGATTTCATTTTATATATACCTTTCTTAAGTTTTATGGATCCCCAATTTTTAATGTATAAATTCATATCAAGAGGTCCTATTGTTATCCATGCAAGACAAGTACAATGTAGAAGTAATTGGAACACCAGAAACAAAAACACAACACTTTATTAGCTGAATTCAGGGTTCATGGCTTTTTTTTTAACTTGAGAAAAATAGAGATGATATTTATAGACATTTGTAAAATTCCTTGTGCTGTGGATTAGCTGCATTCTCTCTACATGTCTCTAGCTTTAATATCTCATTTCCTGCTAACCATAATTTAGCCTACCATTCTGACTTTACCATGTGATTAGACAGTTTAGGGAGAGATTAATGCAAAGTGGAAAAATCAGATCAGGGTCCATCAAACTTTATGATGAAAGTATGCATTTATGTTAGTTGGCTAAGCAAATCTTGTATTTTGTATGAAGTTTCTCCCATTACTAAAAAGACTATAATATTGAGTTAACTAATATTTTAAAAATGTGAGATGTAGTGCATAGTTGCAAAGCTGACAATGTATTAATAAAATGACACCATACATTGTTCAATGCTTATAGTTTAAACTGGATAACTTAGAGATCAGGATGACCCACTTCTCACATTTTTTTCACTAATGCTATTTTGTCAGTTAACTTGCAAGGAGATAAGCAAATCATATAAAGTGCATTGGATCTCAAGTTTCAAATGCACTATTCCTTATTTCAAAACATTTAACCTGGGAGATATTGTACTTGTTCTGAGTGAATAAAAGTCCCATTTCATATTTCCTCTTCTTATTTGTTATGTAGATGATTATAACCTCAAAATAGGAAAATAACACACGAGAACATAGTTTGATCATTTTCTGAAAATTCCCCTTAACACAAATGATTAAATGAAGTTGGATTTTTTGATTACTTACAAAAAAGTTCAGACTTGATTGACCTTCTTATCTCAATAAGGCATTTATTCAGGATTAGCAAGTTAAAAGGGCTTGGGTATATTAGCCTCTGTGAGGCTTTAGGAAAGATGGATTATCAAGACATATGCTCTGCATCTTTCACTCTTTAATCTTACATTGAAGAAATTACTGTGGGCTGAAAACTTTACTTTTCTTCAAGATGCATTGCTAAGGAAAACTTGACTCCTTGGAAGTTATAACCTTTCCAACAGTGATGACTACTTTTAGAAGTCGGTGTTCTGAAGAAAGTCCTGGGATGGAAAAATAACCAAGTGAAAGAATGCTTACCTAGTATGTGCAGGCCCCAGGAGAGATTCCCAGCACAATATACATACATAAAAACAAATACATAAATTTAATAGCTTCTAAGCAGTATCCACAACTGCTAGTGAAAGTTCTACCTCTAGACAAATCAGTTTTCAGAAACCACATTAAATGTCCTGTTAGTCAGTTAAATATATTTAACTGCAGTTAAATATACCTACCAAGTAAAATGAGGGTCTCTCTATCACCCAGTGTTGGGTAGTGGCCAAATCATAATCCTGACAGGTGTCTCAAGTGGTTTCTGCTGTTTCATCCCATCCAAAAATATGACACAATTCTGCCAAATACCATTAACTAATTGTTCTTTCCAGGATATTCAATAGAATGAATATTTTAGTCAGCTTTTTCTCTGCTGTGATTAAAAGACCTGACAAGCACAGTTTTAGGAGAGGAAACATTTCTTTGGGGTTCACAGTTTCAGAGGTCTATGTCTGCAGATGGCTGGCTCTCTTGCTGTGGCTGGAAGTAAGGCAGAATACCATAGCTCAACAGTGTGACAGAGAAAAACAGCTCAGGACATGACAATCAAGAATCAGAGAGAGCTGGGTGTGTGCAAGTCTGTAATCCCAGAGGCTTGGGGGACTGAGGCAGGAGGGTCAGCCTCAGCAATGGTGAGACACTTGGCAACTCAGCAAGACTCTGTCTCTAAATACAATACAAAATAGGTCTGAGGATGTGGCTCAGTGGTTGAGTGCCCCTGAGTTCAATCCCTGGTACCTGCCCCCCCCCAAAAAAAAAGAATCAGAGAGAACTCCCCTCACCATGGAAAACATATAAACTCCAAAAACACATCCCCAGAAACCCACTTCTTCCAACCATACCCTACCTGTATAAAGTCACTGCCCAGTTAATACCTATTAGAGAATTAATGCACTGATAAGGTTAAGGCTCTCAAAACCAGATCATCTCACCTCTACATTTCATTGCATGGTCTCACACATGAGCTCTGGGGGGACACCTCATATCTAAACCATAACAATGAGGCTTCTTTCTATTCACATTTACAATTAAAACAAAAGTCATGTCATTAGCATGGTTTCGCTGTTAGACTCTGAAGAGTTAATCATTTCTTTCAGATGAAGTGGCTACCTGAATAAATCATGATTGACTAAAAAAATTTTAAATGACATCAAGCCTGAGAAGAGGGCCACAATAGGAATTATTGATAACATTAGTTACACCAGTGATACTGTATATAGTGATCCATTAGCCGTACTGAATGACTGCACACATTATATACTGCTACATTAATATTACTCAGTAAGATAATTAAGCATCTCCTGGATAAATATGCTTCATTAGCATGTATTATGTCACATGTTTATGTCTCCACTCAAGTTACAAACAGTATATTAGCAAAATTTTGGCAATGGAAATCACAAAGCTTATATGGTTACAAAAATACTTTCAACACAGTTGGATTCTGTGCCACACTGACATTAAAAAAAGTCAAAGTTTTAATTATCACATGACAACCAATAAAATGTGATGAGAGGGTCACAATGAAAATTTAATTTTGTGCACAGACTTCATGTCTTTACAGCCACACAAAACAATAATCAGCATGCAATAGATGCTAAATATATTGAATAATTGCACATTACATCATTATATGAAAAAAATCATACATAATAGTTCATATACTTATAATACAGTTACTTACATTATACATATAAATTATTACATATTAATACATATAATACCATAATAAATAACATATCGCATTTAATTACATAATATGTGGGCTGTTGTTCGATTTCAATATATATTTGCTTTCCAAATTGCAACATTGCTCATTTAAAATAGATGAAATACAGTTTCCCTCTCAATTTATCTCTATATTTCAGTTAAGCAAATTCCAAGTTCCATATTCATAAGTTGAGTCTTAGCCCTCACATATTAGTCTTCCTGACACTTTTAAAAAATGTTTTCATTCATTAATCAAACTCCCAATTATACTTCCATTTGTTATATTAAATATTTCACAAATTGGCCACTGTTTGTAAATATCCTGTCAAGGGCAGGTAACTAGGCTCTCCCACAAGTAACTCATGTAATAGCTTATATTCTTCAGTTTATTTTTTGTTCTCTTAATTTCTAAGTTATGAACACACAGACACATACACATCTTTTTAATTCCCTATCTTCATAGCACTATTACTGCATACTTATTCATTAATTATTTTGAGTAAATTTTAGTGCTTATAATATAGCAGACATTTAGGATACAAAGGTAAATAATACCTAGTTACCTCCTCCTGTTCTCTAATAACTGAGTGACTTTTTATTTATAGTTACTTGCTGATTATGCCCAGTCTATCTAGTCTTGGAATCATCAACCTCACTTTCGAAGCACCATAGCCTGTATGTGGTATGGAGTTTAACTTGGAATTCAGTCTTGCAATGGCTCAGTTTCAGTCTTGCAATGGCTCAGTTTCTCTATCAGCCAATTATTAACCCTGTGCTGTGGGTAGAATTAATCTGCCTTTATTTTAATCAGCAAATGTTACTGAAAAATAAAGATGATAGTAGTGCAAATTTTCTAGGTATTGAGAAAGATTTAGTGACATGCATGAGACAAGGAAAACTCTTAACATAGTGTTTCATGTGTTATAATTGCTCAAAGACTTATATGTGGTAACTTGAAAACATTTGAAACCAGTGGACCTAAATAATTGGAGTTAATTTTTCAGACTAAAAACTTAATTAGTAAATTAGCTTTTTAGAATAAGCCTTCTAGATAATTTAGTAGCCATTTTCCTCTTAAATTTGTACTTAATTGTGATTTTTTGTGATGTAATCATTATATAAATACCACAAATTAGTAACATTGCTGAAAAGATAAATTTATTTTTTAAAGCAAATTTGTGAGTGTACTTTTAACTTTAATGGCTACATCATACATATGACAAAACTTTGAATAACAGGTATAAAATAGAAGGAAATAAAACAATACCAGGCAGTAGAAATTGCCAGAAGTCTTGACTTTTAGTTTATATAATCCACATACACAATTAAAGGAAAAGTTAAGAAAATGGCTATTTTTTTCCTCTAACAATATTGAGCTTCAGGGCTATTAATTAGCAGGAACTTTATAATCTGAAAATTTAAACTTTTGAAAAAAAAACACCTAAAATGGTGGCTTTACTAATATGTTATTATTCTTCTTTTTATCCCTTAGGAGTACACAATTGATATAATTTTTGCCCAAACCTGGTTTGACAGCCGTTTGAAGTTCAACAGTACCATGAAAGTGCTCATGCTTAACAGTAATATGGTTGGAAAAATTTGGATTCCTGACACTTTTTTCAGAAATTCAAGAAAATCAGATGCACACTGGATAACAACTCCGAATCGCCTGCTGCGGATTTGGAATGATGGACGAGTTCTATATACTCTCAGGTAATATTGTTTGAAAAATTTACAAATTTTGCTCTAATTTATTTTCAAAACTAATATTTAATTAGTGTCTGCATTTTCTCCTTCTTCCAACTTACAAATTTAGAAAATGTGTAGCTCTTTTTCTTCTGCTAAAATCTAAAATGGCGAAATGTTTTGGCAGTATTTAATCTCAGGGTTACTATTATGTGAAAAGTAACCTGTAATGCAAATCACTGAGATTTTTCTCTAGCATCCTATCTTGCTATAAAATTGTATAATCTGAATTTCAAACAACCTCAATTAATAAAACATTCTTAAGAAAGTGCTAGAAATTCCTCAAGAAACGATTGACATATAAGTTTGCTGTGCAAAGTTCAAATATATTTAGTTCATTTCCTTGAAGATATCTACTTATTAAAAATCATTCTTGGGGCTGAGAATATAACTCAGTTGGTAGAGTGCTTGGCTTGAATAGCACAAGGCCCTGGATTCAGTCCCCAGCACCACAAACAAAACAAAACAAAAAAACCCATTCTTAATGGGAAAATATTCCTGATATATTAAGATGAAAACATCATAACACTTAACTATGTACAATTTGTTAATCTGGTGTATGTATGCCTGTATATGTGCATGTGTATTGGTGAAGACCCTGAACTATAAATTTTTTAGCCATTATTATTTTTGTATTGGTTCTTTTTGGTAATACATGAAGTTGAATCTATTTTAATATAATTATACAAGTATGGTGAAGTATGACTTTTTAAGTACCAAGATTTTATTAAAATACATACAGAAGTGATCTGATTGGCTGGAAAAGAGAATGTTAGAATTTTCATATTTAACTACAAATGTTATAATATTCTTTAAGACTTTGAGATTTTAAAATGATTATTACATTCTAATCCTACATACTTCATTATTGTGGTCTAAAATCATGTTTTAAAATTAGACAAGAAAGTTTAATGATGGAAAATTGTCTTCATTTAATATTTATCTTTTCATCTAAATATAGATTGACAATTAATGCAGAATGTTACCTTCAGCTTCATAACTTTCCTATGGATGAACATTCTTGTCCACTGGAATTTTCAAGCTGTAAGTCAGAAAATACTTGATAATTTCATACAGTTTAGTCTCAAATCTCATTTCTTTAAAAAATGTAAAGCAAAATGAGAAAAAAAGACAGTTTTTAGAAGAGTGGGTTATATTCAACTCTCTTAGATAAAATAATTACGAATAGTACATGAATTCCTTGCTTTTAAACTAAAAAACAATAAATAGGTAGTGAATGTATATACGTTTTATTAAATCATTTATTAAATCATCTTTACAACTTTCAGTGTATTCAAGTCTATTTTTCTTAGCTTGAATAAATAAGGGAATACTTAAGATAGGTTTGTTTTCACATATTTTTACAGAGTAAAGAAAAATTGATTCAAAGTATATTCATTTTGCTGGAGGCAGCATCTAAATTTATTGCCTTGGATTTTAAAATGTTTCAAAAATTACTTGGGTGAAGAGTATTTACTACATAAAAGTAAATATTTGAAAAGACTTTAATGAGTTGGAGATGAGCTTTTTTAATTAAAGGGAAAAAATGAACACAAGAGTGGTTAGAACTAACTAAATTGAACCTAAAATTTTATTCCAAAAAACAGTTATAATATTTTTATTGCAATATTAATTTTATTTTATGTTTACAAAAATATTTGTATTCTCATATATTCTTAGGAAAATTCTGATCTAAAAAATAATTAGACAATATATATGACTTTTAAAAATGCTATTGCCTATATCCACAAATCATTTAATGCTATTTTCCTTCCTTCACAGTTGGATTTTTTTTTCATGGTTCCGAATGTATTCTAGAACCTATTCTTAGTATATTGTGATACAGGTATTTACTCATAAGTATTTCCCCACCTCTTCACTTAGTAAATTCTAAATATCTCTGTTGCCCTTTATTAAAGATTTTATTGGATTATCTTCATAAATTTTATTTTATTATGTTAATGATCTTATATCTCACTCAATGTATAAAGACAGCTAAATCAGGGCAAAAGACTTGATAAATAGGAATTATCAAGGAAGAGTTGACATGTAAATATTGGATGACGTAACATTTAGTGCACTTTTCCCTATTTGACATTCTTAACATCTTGTGATTTGCTTTGACTTTGCTTGCCATTACTAGAAATGAATAATCCATCCCTGTAAATGCAATTGGGTGTCAATGACACAATACCATCATCCTAACTTCCTTTGTCAGGTATTCTGTACAGGCTCACTAGAAAATTTAGCCTCTACCTCTAATATTTCACAACAAAGATTTGTAAAAGATTTTACTCTAGCCCCAATTTAAAGTCAATGTCTTAAGAGAGAGGTTAAGTATCTACACAACCATGTTTATTTGTACCCACATTCCTATATGTTATCACTTTTCACTCAACTACCTCTGTGATTATAATGAATAGGAACTATGGAAAAGCACTGTAACCACAGCCCTGGAGAGCAAAAAGGAAAACATTCTTAAATAGGTCAGCAGAGATGAAAGCAAATTTATTGTATTACCAATAGGAGATCCTGCAAAATAATATACTATTTTGGAAATATTAGAATATTTGTGAATTCTGATTTTGAAATATGGTACAGCACTCCTTGTGCTGAAACAATTAGAAACTTCATAGTATTACAATATTTCCAAACACAGATGAGCAATCAAAAATAGGAAGTAATGTTTGTCCACCAAAAAAAAAATCACATAAAAAGTTGAAGTCAGAAGGATAAGTTTGCAGGCAATTGTGACCTAGAGACATTTCAAAACATGGGAATTCCATGCTTTGGTTTTGACAGTCTTGTGGGGTGAATTCTAATATAACAAAATCTTTACATAAATCTGAGATATAAAATGTTATATACTTTAGATCACTGAAGAAGTGTCCCCACTCCCAAATTCCAAGGACTAAAATATAAGTTGGCTGTGATATTAATATATAGGGTGAAATAACTCTTAAATATGATTATGCTTTAAACATGCATATTTCATTCAGTTTTTTCCTATATTTGGTATATCTTATAATAACACACAAGGGAAGAATCTCCAAGAGTTGGTTTTTGGATAATGTTGGTATTGCAATGTTAGCAGCTTTGGAACTTGCTTATCTATATATTTTTTATTTCAATTTTCCTTCCAGATGGGTATCCTAAAAATGAAATTGAATATAAGTGGAAAAAGCCCTCTGTGGAAGTGGCTGATCCTAAATACTGGAGATTATATCAGTTTGCATTTGTAGGGTTACGGAACACAACTGAAATCTCTCACACAATCTCTGGTAAGGAGAAAACACAAATTGGTGAATGATACTAGTAGAGAATGGCATTGGCATTTAACTATATGAATTGAAATATATATTTTTATGCATTTTCTAGCCAAAGTAAAACATGTATTTTTCTTCCAGGCGATTATATTATCATGACAATTTTTTTTGACCTGAGCAGACGAATGGGATATTTCACTATCCAGACCTACATCCCATGCATTCTTACAGTTGTTCTTTCTTGGGTGTCTTTTTGGATCAATAAAGATGCAGTACCTGCAAGAACATCACTGGGTATGGTATATAATATTATGCTATGTTATCAGAGGGTTTTAAAAAATATTCTAATAAAAGTCTACAGGAGAAAATACTAGAAATATTCCTCTAGACCATAATCAAGGGGAAAATGTACTGAAATTCTATTGGAATACCATTTGAAAGAACTGAATAAAGGACAAGTAGAAAACAAAGTAAATAACTTGAACTTTAGAAAATTCCTTATTTTTCATGCTGAAGGAAGTCAAAGGAAATATAGTTCACAATAAGAATTAATAAATGAAAATCTCTAAATAAATATCTAAACCTCATTTTGGTAAATATTTTCAATGACTTTGATCAGTTTTATTTTACCACTAATAATCAGCATGTATATAAAACTCCTTCCTCAAATGTTTCAAATGAATAGTCCGATGTTCCACAGGGCAGGTACCTGGAAGGATCAAGAAACTCCCTAGCTTATGCAATATATAAAATGTGCAATTAATCTGTGAATATTTGAAGGTTGCTGTTTAAAGATTAATTTGTAATTCATACTGGATAAAATGGATTTTTTTCTCTTTTTATAGTAATCTATTGCAGCAACAAATCACTTGAGGAAATCAGGGTCTAACTACCATATATTTTTTAAATGAAAGTGATGATCTATATTCATGTATTCCTACACAAAGAAAATTTATTGATTTATTTTCAAGATCAGTCTAAAATATGAATCTTAACTGTGTGTGAATAATTATCCACTGATAATTATGTATTAAAAACATAAAGACATTTGAGACAATTGATATTTTAATGGTAAAGAGTTTTCATGTGAATTCTCTGATAACTGGCAAATAACTCCATTTAATAAATAGTGAACTGCAATTCACATAAAAGTGGCAGCAATAAAACCTGAAACATGTAGCTCTAGAAATGCCTTTTCTTTGAGACTCTAAGTACTTATTCATAAGTGTTATTTCTTTCTATTATTTCAAATTATTTTGTTTTAAAGCACTTTCATTATTATAGTTTCTTTATATACTATTGCAATTATAAGTTAACATAGTATATTTGCTTTTATTTTCATTTTGTTTTTCCAAAGAGAATTTGAGTGGATTGTTTCTACTATTGAATTTATATTTAAAAAAATCATATGCTATGGTGTCATAAAACAGCAGATCCAATTTTATGATTTTACATGAATTCATATATTTTTAATACTAGCATTTGTCAAGATAGGCATAGCTAGATCAAATTAAAGTATACTTCCTATAATTCTGAGCCCTATGAAGTTGTAATTAATTTTATAAGCATTCATACGTATGTTTACATCTTGTTGAGGGACAATTTATTGAAGTAATTTTTTCAACATTGCATTTTAACATTTATGAAATGTTTTCTGTGAAAATTACAAGACATGTGGGTGGACATGTTTGCTATACCATGATGTGGTGTCCAGAGAGTCCTCTGTGGAGGTGGCATTTGAGTAGTAACCTAATGGTGAAGTACTTGATCGATATTTGGTAGAAGAATAATCAAGGCAGGAAGAACCTGTCAGGGTAAGCTTGATTTCAGAAAGATGACAGGTGTGGCTAGAACTGACTGAATAGTGTCAGAAGATGAGATTGGAGAGTGGATAGTGCTTGGATCGTTAAAGTCTTTGTGAGCCACTTTTGGAACTTGGATTTTTTTCCACACTTGATGGGAGATTATCATAGGCTCTTGACCAGAGGAATCCATGGAGAAAATAACAATGATATCTGAATTGGTTTCTTCTTGTCCTGTTAATATTCCAAACATTTTTTATTAGCATAAATTCAGAGGTACTTTAATAGGAAATCCATCATGGTCTTCTCAGTTTAATCACTGTGATATTAATTGCTAAATTAGAGAAACACATTTCTGAAAGCTAAGCTGTACTGTGGTTTTCCTTGCTTTATTAAACAGAAATGTAATCGTGTTTTATTAAAGTAAAATTTAATATAATCATTGATAATAAAATACATGCACACATCGACTCTGTGACTTTTAAATAGAGATGGGACAGAGAAATCTTCTTTTGTTTGATTATGGGATCTTTGTAATTTACTACTCACCACCCCCAGCAAAAGGAAGTGTGGAAGTTGAAGAAAAAAGGATACTTGCATTCATTGAAAGTGTTTAGCATTACCATATACAAATCCTTTAGAATACAGTTTTGGTTTCAAAATAATTGAAGTAAAAATTCTCAGGAATAATGAGAGAAATGGACAACTTTGCAATTGTAATTGGACTACAGTCCCCTTCTCAATTAGTGAAGAAAAAAAAATCATTCAAGATGTAGAAGATCTTAATGAGATCACCAACTGCATGAACTGATTTATATTTACTAAACACAGCAACTAACTTCAGTACATAATGTATTTTCCAATGCATATGGAACATTAACCAAGATTTCAACACAATTCAAAAGATTCAAGTTTTCCTGAGCATATTTTCGAACAAAAATGGAAGTAAATTAAAAGTTAATAAACATAATGTAACTAACAATGTCCTCAAAGTTTTAAAATTTTAAAAAGAATGAACTTTTAGGTGACCTTTGGGTCCAGTAAGGAACAAAAGGAAGTTAGACAATATTTCAAACTGAATTTTAATAGAACATAGCATAAATTCAGGTGGGATATAGGTGGACATAATGTTTGCTATCATGCAGTGTGGTGTCTAAATAAATCTATAAAAGTGGCATTAGAACCGTGATTAATGAAGTATGAGGCTGACACACTACTTAGATTAGAAATTATAGTTTTAAATATTAATATTAGAAATGAATAAAGATTTAAAATCAGTAACCTAAGTATTCATTTTAAGAATAAGTAAATTAATTACTTTTTATATATTGATTATAGGTATCAAGCAAGGTACTACTGTGCTAGTTTTTTAGGTGAGAGGCATAGGAGTAAGAAAATTTCCTTAAGATTACAAAGATAATAGGTGGGTCCGGGATTAATTCTGTATTTGCTTCCAACGCACTTGTGACATTTTCTGTTCCAATACTAAGAACTGTTAAAACTAGAAAGATGAACATGTCACAGGAATTCTTACACAGCAACATGATGGAAAATGGTAGTTAATGCCTTCACCATAACAAAGAGGCTGTTGCTGCAGCTTTATTATTTTATTATCATGAATGTTGTCATTCTATAAATATTGGCCAAATTAAGAAGCATTTAACATTATATATAGTACTTTGAAGGGTAAGCAGTGCCAACCATAGAGCCATGTATAGTGTGCTAAAGAAGGGAAATTGTAGCAGTTTAGGCAAAGAGAGACCTAGCAAGTGCATCTGTGATTTAGGTGACCAAGGTGAGGCAGGACATGATGGTGGAAGGACCTGGTGGGGCAGCATTCATAGCATCCAGGAAGCAAAGAGAAAGAAGGGGCCATAGGGAATATGTACCCTCTGAGGGCTTCCTCCTAGTGACCAGCCTCCTCCAGTCATAAACCATCTGCCTACAATTCCCACTCAGCCCATTCAAACTAGGATGAGCTGATCAGGCTGCAGTTCCCACAATCCAGTGATTTTACCTCCAGACATTCAGTGATTAGCACAGGAGCTTTTGGAAGACACTTCATATGTAAACCATAACAGGACCTAAGATTAATGGCAGGAACCACAAGAAAGCCAATGGGTAAAGAGATGCAGTTATGTCCAAAGACAACACCCTGGGACACTGGGGTAGGGCTCTTGCACTTATTCCTATTCCACATGTTGAGTGCCTAAAAATGTAAATCTTTACCTCGTCCTTCTGAAGTATTCACTTTATATAATTATGCCTGGATACTTAAACTCTGAGGTTAAAAAGTAGGTTGAAGTCAATTTATCAAATAAGAAGGCTCTATGTTCATTTGGATTCATTTAACCACATATAGCAGGTAATAGCTGTTCTCCAATTAGGTAGAATGGTATTTGTTTCTCTTGTGCAAGTCCAGTCATAGGCAGTGCAAGGTGATATGGCACACTGCAGTAGGAGGAATTCAGGCTGTTAGCTTTCTTCTAAGTTATGGGGTGACCTGAATTCCAAGGATCATTTGCTGGTCTAAGATGACAACAGGCTCTCCATCCATTGCATTCTGGCAGAGCAGTTCCAGAGGGAGAGAGAAAGAAAGGCCTTTCCCAGTTCATTAAAACCGTTTTTTAGACTGCTTCCATTGACTCAGGTCTCCTTGGCTAGATATTAGCCTGTGGTTACACCCTGTTGCTGAGAAGGTGGCAAATAAAGTTGTTCTTCCAGGCAACAACATCCTAGTTTAAAAATTGGTATTTTATTACTATGGAGAAAGAGAAGGATGGGTATCAGGCATTAATTTGCAGCCCACAGTAATTTAAATGACTAAAATTCACAGACACAAAAAGCGCATTGAACATAGCGTAGCCATGGTTACCAGTAATTCTTTCTGTAAATCCCTGGTAATCATATTCTTTTGTTTCCATTGTTTATTTAAGCTCAAAATATTGCCAGATCAGATGGAAAAGTAAAGTGGTGTGTTAAATTATTTTTAATCTATTTTTCCCCCTCTCTCTATAGGTATCACTACCGTTTTGACTATGACAACCCTGAGTACAATTGCCAGGAAGTCTTTACCTAAGGTTTCTTACGTGACTGCGATGGATCTCTTTGTTTCTGTGTGTTTCATTTTTGTTTTTGCAGCCTTGATGGAATATGGAACCTTGCACTATTTTACTAGCAACAAAAAAGGAAAGACTACTAGAGACAGGAAGCTAAAAAGCAAGGCCTCGGTATGTCACAAAAGATTTTTTCATAAAAGCCAGCTGACATGGAGATGCTGTTTCAAATACTTATGTGGTATTTATGGTGCTAGGGAGTATTTGAGGCACTGTGACAAAAGATAACGTAGAAAGATAAAAATGGAGAGCCCAACATTACCTGCCAATTTTTGTATCTATATTTCCTCAGTATTCCTATTGGATCTCCCATGCAGAGTAATTTCTAATACTGTAAAATCTTCCACAAGTGGTATGCTTTTTGCACCTAAAACAATTCTTAAGATTTGTCTTCGATTCTATTTTTGTGTTAGAATTTGGAATTCTAAAAAATTCAAATTGTTACATGTTTATACTCCGTTAGTCCCCCTTTCTTAGCATATCTACCTTAACTTATATTGTATCAGTTTATATATTAAAATTTATTTTACTGATCCTAATATACTTAAGTTTTGGATAATTGACCATAATTTCCTTTTATAATGACAATTATTGATCTGACATTTATATCTAACACTGAGTGTTTCCGGCACTCTTCAGAGCATTCTATATGCATGATTTCATTTATTCTCAGAGCAAGAATTAAAGAATAAGTTCATTGATTTGCAGAAGGACAGCATAGTAAATGAGAGATCAAAGACTCAAACACAGGTCTGTTTTGGTATGAGAGCTCAAACTTGTAACTCTTTCTTTGTATTTCCCTATTGTTAGGGAACTCAAAAAGGTAGACATTTATTTCTCCAGAATGAACAACAAAGATAATCATTGTTAATTTTAGTAAATATTTTTAAAACAGACTTGTTCCAAAATACTCAAATAAATTATAACTGTATACACCAGTTATGATAGATGTGAGCTTAAAAGCCTGCCATGTTATATATAGTGTGAGGCATGGAGTTAGTTTCAGGATTCAGTGATTTTTTTCTCCTTCTCATTTTTCACTCATTTTTTAAATGAATTTTTGCCCTACATTTAAATTTTTAAATATCTAATTTTTTTAGTTGTTGTTGAACACAATACCTTTATTTCACTTATTTATTCTTATGTGGTGCTGAGGATCGAACCCAGGGTCTCGCACATGCGATGCAAGTACTCTACTGCTGAGCCACAACTCTAGTCCCTTAAATTATAATTTACTTTTCAATTTATATTCCAATAAGCAAGCCCTGTTATATTTTGTTTTCTGACTCCCACAACATAAAAGCAAAGCATATTGTTGGCAGTACAGATTTGAATATTTATGTTGTACAATGATCCTGTGACTCTCTCATGTTACATGACTTTAGCTTATACATGGGACATAGTGATGTTCCTGAATGAATACATCAGAGAACAAGAATGTCAGCTTTAATATTCAGTGCTATTTTTTATTCATCCTAATTAGTTCTACATGACATAGAATGCATTTTTAAAAATTTGTTCTAATTAGTTATACATGACAAATAGAATGCATTTATGCACTTTGTTGTACCATACATAAATGGGATATAATTTTTCATTTTTCTAATTTTACATGTTATGTAGGTTCGCATCAGTCATGTGGTCATATGTGTTCATAAGGGAATAATGTCTGTTTCATTCTACTGTCCTTTCTATCCCTATATCCCCTCCCTCCATTCACTCCCTTTACCTAATCTAAAGTAACTCTATTCTTTCCTAGCACTGCCCCACTTATTGTGAATTAGCATCCATATATTAGAGAAAACATTCGGCCTTAGTTTTTCTGGGAGTGGCTTATTTCGCTTAGCATGATGGTCTCAAACTCCATCCACTTACCAGCAAATGTCATAATTTTATTTTTATTTAAAGCTGAATAATATTCCATTGAATATGAATATACACACACACACACACACCACATTTTCTTTATCCATTCCTCTATTGAAGGACACCTAGGATGGTCCCATAGTTTAGCTATTGTGAAGTGAGCTGCTATAAACATTGACCTGGTTGCAACACTGTACTCTGCTGATTTTAAGTCCTTCGGGTATAAACCAAAGAGTGGGTTAGCTAGCTCAAATGGTGATTGCATTCCAAGTTTTCTGAGAAATCTTTATACTGCTTTCCATAGTGGTTGCTCCAACTTCCAGTCTCACAGCAATGTATGATTCACAAGAGTCTCGAAATAAATAAATGGAATACTTGGGAATCAATCTAACAAAAGAGGTGAAAGACCTCTACAATGAAAATTACAAATCAATAAAAAAAAAAGTAATTTAAGAAGACCTTAGAAGATAGAATGCATTTTGAATACATCATACATACTTGGAGTATAACTTTTCATTCTTCGGGTCAAACATGATGTAAAGTTACACTTATCATGTAATCATACATGTACATAGGGTAATAAGGTCTGATCCATTCTACTATCATTCCTACTCCCATATCTCCTCTCCTCCCTTCACTCCCCTCTGTCTAATCCAGAGTACCTCTATTCTTCCCTAGCACCTCCCCTTATTGTGAATTAGCATCTACATATCAGAGAAACCAGAAAATTCGGTTCTTTGGGATTGGGTTATTTCACTTATTTTTAGATAAATAAAAATGAATGTTTTCTACTACATTCCTTTAATTAAAGCCAAACATCTTTGCTAGATTTTTTTAAAGTATGTTTGCTACTTTCAAAATTTTAGTTCTGGAAATTTTGATTGAAAATGTTTAGAATAAAAATAACTAATGTTAAAAGACAGATGATGTATAATTTTGAATGTATTTTCTAATATCACTCTAAGAATATATATAACAAGTTCTATTATTCTATTACCTAATGACATAAAACTGAGAAGTGGGTATTGTAGGGGAACAGTTGATCAGTTTGACTGCAGATCATGTACTCAACCACAGTTCTAGGTGGCACAAATACTCAAAAGAGCTGAAATATTGGAAGAAAAATATTAAAGTTATGGTGTTATTCAAACATAAGCTCACAAAATATGTATTAAAGTCTACCAGATCCTCTTCTACTCTAGTAATTTAAAGAAAAAAGTCTATCAAGTATTTAAAATTTAATCCAGGATGCAAAAATAGTAAAGGTGGAAAAACCACAAATAATAATTAAATGACAGCTCTGAACCACTAAATGATGACAGATGGCAACATTTCAATTGACATAATTGATTACCTGTGTGACAATATTTTTTTTCAGTCATCCAAACTTAAATTCTTTAGTCGTTCTTTCTTTGTTCAGTTATGTGCTTAATGAGCTCTTTCAGTTCTAAATTGTGCTTTGAAAGGCCAGGATCAGTAATCAAATTTGTTTTCCTGCCTGGTCCAGTGTTTAGCCATATGGTCTTCCTAATCAGGTAAATTAAAATGCACTTTATAAAGAATAGACTGCCTTTGATTCTTTGGAATTGGCTTATTTCAGTTAGCATGATAGTCTCTAGTCCCATTTCGTTTACCTGCAAATGTCATAATTTCATTCTTTATGTCTGAATAACATCCCTTTGTTTATATGTACAACATTTTCAGTATTAGTCCTTATGTTGAAGGGCACCCAGGTTGGTTCCATAGCTTAGCTATTGTGAATTCAGCTGCTATAGACATTGATGTGGCTGTGTTTGGTATCATGTATATCTCAAAAGAACAAATAAAAATATATTTACATTAAAACAAATAATAGACAGCTCTGTTTGCTTTTGTCTTAAATATCCTATTTAAGGGTTTTGTGGAAGCCACATGTTTCTTCTCTTTGAAGTAGGAAAATTAAATGTGCCCTGGACTCAGAGGTCCTATAGCGTCTTGTCCTTACACCCATTTGTGCTTTGGCCACCCCTTTTTACCTGCCTCTTTCTCTTTCATTTTATTTAATAGAATCAAAATTCTGAATAGTTTGAAATCCAGAACTTCCCCTTGTTCTTTTCTCCAATATTTGAAGCAATGGTCAGTCCACTAACGTCATGTGCCTGAGTCACTCTAAGGTCAACTTGTGGGTTGTTAAGTGGAACTGAAATCCCCTTCTTGACATCTCTTCAACTGCTTAACTAAGCATCCTAGAAAGCCCTGATTTATTTTCTTTAGGTAGAGATTATAGTTGAATACATAAAAATTTTAGATCTAGTGAAACCTTTAAGAAAAACATGAATTAATAAAGATGTTTTCTATTTTATTCTCAATATTAATGTTCTTTCTTTCTCTCTTCCTTCCTTTTTCTTTTGTCATTCTCGTTTTCATTTATTTTTTAATCTTTCTTTAATTTGTCCTTCTTTGCTTCCTTTTCTCTTATTTCTCTGTATTTTTCATCTTCCTTTTGTATTGTGCATATTAATGACATTTGATTTGGTTCCCATTACCATTCAATATATGTTTATTTTTTCTTTATTGCCACTCATTAAAAATGTGATTTAGGTATATTGTTATATCTCTGCCAGGAACTTAATATGCCCATTTGAGAGTAAAAAAAAAATATATCTTTAGGGTCTCAACTTTATTAAGATGTAAAATGATAGAAATTTATTTCCTCAGGCATGGACAGAGCAATTTGTAGACAAAAAGAATGTGTTCTCTGAAGCTAGATGTGGTGGCACACAATTGTAATCTTAGCAACTTGCTAGACTGAGGCAGGAAGATTGCAAGTATGAGGCCAGTCTCAGCAACTCAGTGAGACTCTCAGGAACTTAGTGAGACCTTGTCTAAAAATATGAATTAAAAATAGGGAGGTAGCCTAGTAGTAAAGTGTGCCTGGGTCCAATCTAAAGTATTTACATTATTAAATAAATAAATTTTAAAAAAATATGTTCTCTGCGTTTGGGCATCTTTAAATCTTGTTGTGGAAAAATAGACTAGAAATTCAAAATAAGATGATAAAGTGAAATATATAGAATGGCATAACATAAAAATCCAAAATAAAGAAACAAGCTGTTAGAGAGTTAATGATGAGATGGGTAGTTTCTCATACGTTTTCAGAAGCAGAATTGTTTTCTCACAATGAGTATAAATAAGATATAGGGAATTATATATATATATATTTTGAGGAGCTGTTTGTTGAAACAGATGCTGAAAGCTTGGCCTATGTA